ACTAATTCTAAGCCCAGCTTCAGTCTTTTCTCATACAAGTTCACTATAAAACATTAACACAAGATTTTTTTTTTGCTTGCTTGTTTTGTTTTGCTATCTTTAATCAGATTAATGGTTTTATATAACCTTGTACTTACAGGCCATATATAAAAGTGTAATAAGAAATAAAACAGTCGGTGAGAAATTAAGTGCCTATCTTAAAAATTTAAGAGTGTAACATCTGAACCAAACATAAACATCAAGATTGTTTGGGGGACCACTGTGGGCCAGTCAAAAGAATTGTACTACCTCATTGATCTCAGAATACTTTCCCCAAAGCAAATTCCTCTTCTAAGTTATCAGTGATACAAGGAGTGATGACTTTGAGGTGCCAATTAATATAAATTGGGAGCAGGAGACATATTAATTAAACGTGGCATTCTGATTATTTAAACCCTCTATTTAAGTTGATCATTCAGAGCACGGTGATGGCTGTTCTTCAAAAATGATGGATGGCATCAAGCTTTAGTGACTCCCTCTATATCTGTGGTTTCCAGCACTTCAGAGCAGAAGAAACAAATGATGTGAGAAGAACATAAGAACAAGTCTAATAGACACTGCCTAATCTCAGATACCCAAGGCCAAACCAAAGCAATCCATTTCTTAGCTTTCATCAACACAAGACATGATTTATCAATTGATGAACAGTATTTCAAACATTATACATCTAAATTATATGTTCTTTGTCCTGTGTAACTTTTTGAACAATGACAGATTGTGTGATATATTCCCTACAAAAGTAATGTCATGAGGCAAAACTCATTATATTTCCCAAAACACATTAAAAAAAAAAACCCTGAATATGTCATCTGTCATTATTACTGCACATGCCATTTGGGGAGATTATGTTTCCAATAGATTCTAGGAATTCTGTGCCCTTCATCGTCCAAATAGTGCACATTAATGTCCCTCAAAGTAGAACTCTTATTCTAATACATTTATTTGTGGAGTTGGCTGATGAGTTATAGATAATTATTAAAGACAATATAAAAAACTTATTTCTTGTGTTGTTATAAAATTTAATGGAGTTTGATAGATGGCTTAGTTGATAAAGTGCCTACCACACAAGCCTGAGGAGCTGAGTTAAGCTCCCCAGCATCTGGGTAAAATTCAGGTGTGGTGGTGGTGGTGCCTGTAATTCCAATGCTGACAAGGAAGAGGCAAATGTACCCCTGAAGCCCACTAGCCAGGCAGTCTAGTCAATTGGTGAGCTCCAGGTTCAGTGAGAGACTCTGTCTCACAGTTGAAATGGATTAAGGGAGGTTGAGATAGATTGGGGAATGTTGAGAGGGATTAGGGAAGACATTCAACAGAGATCTCTGGTCTCCATTTGCAAGCATACTCACATGTGCATCTACACCAGCTCTAATATTTATAGAGGAGGAAGTATTATTAAAAAGAAAAAAGGCCATGAGAAAATTTCTTAACTATAACATAATGTAAATGCAAGCATAGATATTATTGTCAGGCTGTTCTCTCCCTTGTTACAGCACCTAAGAACTATTTTATGAGGCATGCCTAGGATATAGCTCAGAAATGAGTTCATAGTGTCAGGTTAGGTAATCTAGATGTATCAAGTGAGATTACATGAGGAGAGTAGTCGGTTGATATCATGAAACTTCACTCTTCATTCCACCTCCGTATAATTGCATGGCTACTTTCAATGGCTTAAATTAATTAGCACCTTCTTTGCATTAGTTTGGGGAAGATCTGATTGCTCACATGGAGGAGGTAATAAAAGGGTTATACCCTTGGCTAATGATTCATCGCACCAGCTGCCAGCGAGTTGCATGTCTCGGCACACCTGGATACATGCATCAGTGACTGATTAGGAAACACATTTATCTTGGCGCATCACAAAGGAGACACAACTGTAATTACTCTCCCTTGTAATGAAAGGCATTCTGGAACCTGTGTCCACCTACAAAATAATAGAAAGTACGCTTTTGGACCAGATCCATATAATTGTGCCATCTGTTCTTGATACTTAGCTCTCAATATTTCCCAAACCATTCTTGTGTTCTAAAAATAAAATGCAGTTTGAAAAGACCTGGGCTAACTGTTAAAATGGTCACAAGATGTCATTTAAAACCGAACACTAATGAAAATGATCAAAACTCAGTTTCTTTGGCTGATAAATACAGAACATGGCATTAACCTTCACTATGTACTTAGGACATTCTGTAGATCTACCATATTTTAATTGAGAGGAAATGAACATATTGACTAAGTTTTTCAGAGACCAGTAAATGAGAAAAGACTTAAGAAAGTATCCCATGTGAAGGAAGAAAAGAATCAAAGCTTTTGTTCTTCACCTTGTCTCATCACAATGACCTCAAAATTCTGGAGACTCTCAACCTATACTGAGAAGCCCCACATATTAAGACCTTAAAGTAAGATGTTATATTATGGGACTAGAGAGATTTCATAGCAGTGAAGAGCAGTTGTTGGCCAAAGAGGTCCCCAAACAAACCAAGCTACTACCAAGCTATCGGTTGCTCTCCACACCGATGGCAAGGCCCATTGTTGAAGATAACACCTACACAACTCATTGAACATGAATTGGTTAAGCCAGTGCCTACACAGAGCCTTCACCCCTACATTGCAGCACCCTGAAAACAGGAAGGTACTCTGCACACTGTCAAAAGAGAGAGAAAAAAAATAAAAACAAAACAAAAACAAAACACCAAGCTACTCACAAACCCTTTATCTACAGTGGTATACTGACTGCAAAATATATGAAGGCAGTGGTCACACAAAGCTTGTGGGAGTAACCAACTAACAACTAATTTAACTTAAGGTCCACGCTACAAGATGGAACCCATGCCAACCACTTGGGAAACCAAAAACTTGAAACTAAGTAGCCCAGAGATCAAGGGTAAAACGAAATAAAATTAAAAAAAAAAAAAGTTACTGATAAAATGACTTCTAGTGATATTCTGCTATATTCATAGATCAGTGTGCCTTGCTCAGTCATCATCAGTGAAACTTCCTCCTGCAATGAATGGGAACACAAATAGAGACCCGCACCCAGACATTACATATGTCATGAGAGAGTGAGAGACCTTGGAACACTCAGCCATAGACAGGCTGTCTCCAACAAATCCCTCCGTTCAGAGCTCAGGGAACCCCAGGGAAGAGGAGGTAGAATAAATGAAACAGCAAGAGGGGAAGGAGGACACGAAGAAAACAAAGTCCTCTACATAACATAATAAAAACTCATTTGAACTCACAGAGACTGAAGCAGCATGCACAGGGCCTGCCCAGATCTGCACGAGGTCCTTTGCATACTTACATATATACACAATAGCAACATATATCTAAAAAAACACATCTTTCTAAACTGTTAAATAACTCAACCTAGAACATGGATAACACTGATATTGTGATCTAGAACATGTCCATAAACCATAACTTGGTATTTTTCATAATATTCTTCTATATTACATTTAGCAATCAGTGTCTTTAAAATGTTTTAGCGATACTAAGCCTTAGTTACTTGTTTCACACAATCAGAATTCAATCAATCCTTAACATAAAATATAGCATAAAATGTCCTTTCTCTGGGTCACCACACCCACACTAAGGAGTTTACAAAACTAAAATGACAGGCACACCTATTTATTTCTATAATCAGTGTGATTACAGTCACTAGGTAGTTTGTTTATCATTTTGAAGAAGTGTAAGAATTGCTTCCTGGTAAACATTTCCTTTGCCTTTCATTTCAGAGACAAATATGAAAATCTTCTTATAAATTGGCCATATTTCTTAATAAGTTGGTCTTCTTCATGTTGAAATTACATATTGATTTACATAGCAGTTTAATCAGATACTATGAGGCACGTTAATTCCCATTGTTGGCTCTTTTGTTCTAAACTCTGATATCTCTGATACTTGGCCAAACGCAATCAGCTAACCATCTCCAAAGACACTCAGGGCCATAATTTGATAGTTCATCTTACTTTGAACAGTCAGCCCTTGGGCACACTCTCTCATCCGTATCAGTTTCACAATGGTGTACTTTCTCATCTCCATACTTCTGCTTTTGCCCACAGGTAGATTGTTCTCTTTCTCTCTCTACCTGGGGGCACTTACTTACTTGAGACTCTTGAGCAACATATCCTAGAATAAAGTTAAGAACATCTCATTCTCTCTTTGCTGGCTAAATACTCTGCTATGGTGTCAGTCACACTATTAAACTTTTGTTTCCACACTTCCATTCATGGAAGACACATAAAATGCATGCATATAAGCCTCATTCATCCTAAAAGAGGTGCTTAGCACAATGGTTAGAAGATAATCTATGCTGAATATAAATGCAAAATGAGTTAAATATCACTATATTTTACATTTCTTAAATTTTCCTTCTTTAATTGACAGATTTTTTTTATGGAAAGTCAAATTTTTATTCACAAGTCATTAAAATGATTAATTTTGCAGCCTATTTTGACACATTGTTTAATTAACATCACCTCTTCCATCAATATTTTAATGAAGAAAATGTTAAAAAAAAAAAAAATCACTGAGCTCCCAAATCTAGAATTTCCTATAATATCTTTCATTTACTTTACCAAGTTTCCATTCATTATATTATTTCCTCTAATTTCATAGTTTTTCTTTTTAAGGTACATGTAGAAATAATCAACTATTCTTTTAGTTCAAACTACACTTATAAAGAGCCCATCTTAGGTTATATGTATATGTTTGTGTAAAATAGATTATATAAAACACACCATTATTCTTTCCTATGTTCAGACTATGAGGCAATTTAGTATTGAATATATCATATGGTTATATATAGTATATCTAATATGTGGGAGTCATTTATTGTGAAAATTTAGGTGGGTTTATCTAACAGAACAATGATAACAAGAGAGAAATTAACGGGCCCACATTGGGTTTCCTCTTCATAATTTTAAATTTATTTTAACAAAAATATCACAGTAAATAAGGTTACTTACTTTTCAGGATTTTCTACTTCTTCAGTAATAAAGTTGAGGTAAAACCTGTATTATAAGTAAACAGATAACTATTAGTAAGTTTTACCACCACATGTTAAACATTTTAAAATCAAACTAAGACTCATAAATTAGAGCCAGTCGGTGGTATCACATGCCTTTAATCCCAGCAAACGGGAGGCAAAGGCAGGGGATCTCTGTGAGTTTGAGGCCAGCCTGGTCTACAGAGCAAGTTCCAGGACAGGCTCCAAAACCTACAGAGAAACCCTGTCTGGAAAAAAAAAAATAATAAATTATCATGAAAATTACATAAAAGTATATGCAGGAAGATGTAAATAGGAAACCAGTAAGAACTTCAACAGCACATTTTCTACTAAGTCGTAGTGGGGGCAAATGTGTAAGACATGAATGCAATGAGAGTAGAAAGTGCATAATCTGTATGCCAAACTCTCAGTTTACAGGACGGCTCAGAACAACATGATGCAATGACAGCAAAGGGTATGCATAGGAGCTAGAAGAGTAGAGCCAGTCTCAAACTAAGATGGAGGAAGCATTTCCAGAGGAAGTCCCCCCCACCCAACCTGAACTTTCAAGATGAGGTGTTATGAGGTCATTCCAGGGTGAGGGTGGGCCAAAGCATGGAAGTGTTCCACAATGGTTATGCACAGGGAAAGGAGGAATACTATAGTGTTCTGCCATACCAGTGTGAAAGAAAGCATGGGGGAGAAATTAATTTGAAGGTGGCCTGAGCTTCCTGTAATCTAAATTATATAAGAGTAACCTTGTAGGGAAGTGCTATTGACTTCCTACACAGAACACACTGTATGAGCGGGAACCAAAACTTGTAGAAATGATAGTTTATTATATGTCTTGTAAGGATGAAAAAATACAGCCTAACTCTTCCATGACCCCAGGAAACTAGAAGTCTAAAAAAGCCCCAAATACGTTAAATTCCAGACCCTGTCCCCTGGCAGTAAGTAGGCAAAAGGTCACATTCTTTGCTGTTTATGACAGGACCTGTAAGTACGTGAGTACAGGAAATGAGCTGTCACCCCACCCAGGAGCCAACACAAATGCAGACCTCCAGGGCTATAGAAAACTGATTGGTCTATAAAGCGCGAACTTGGATGGTTTAAATTGATTGGTCCCCACCGCGCAGGCTCTGGATGCTATTAGATGATTGGTTTAAGATGTGCGGGCTTTGTTGTAACCCTATAAAAGCTGTCTCAATTCTGTACTCAGGGTCCTCAGTCCTCTACCCCTGTGTGGTGCATGACTGTGGACCCCAATGCTCTTGGAATATAAAAGACCTCATGCTTTTACATCAAGACTGCTTCTCATGAGTGATTTGGGGCTGGGGGGGGGGGGGTGCCTTTCCTGAGTCGGAGCGTGAGGGTCCACACTCTGCGGGTCTTTCAGTCTCAAATTTTCAATAAGAGTAAGTTTCAAATGTTTTACCACAAAAATAAAAAACTATACTCTGTTATGGAACTGTTAATTACTTTGATTTAATTATTTCATGTTGTATTCATAAACCATAACCTCATTTTTTGTACCTCACAAACGTACACTATTTGCCAATTTATAATTTCAAACTAAAATAAAAGGATTAAACCTTTCATTCACACTTCTTCCTTTAGAGTCACTGCCAGTGTTTACCCTATATAACCTGATCCACAAGCATAAGGAGGGAAAGAGGTCTTGAGTATGTTCAGGTAGTTAATGGTAGACACACTGTTACTTACCACATTGTCCATCAAGAACAAAAAAAGCAGGGAATTTTGAATATTTCCCAGGTCCCTAGTACTTTTCTCTATATGTAAAGAGAAGCATTTTAGGCACAAAGTATTTCACTTTTAACGTCAATGGAATCTCAAATTCTTACCCTAATATTAGGGCCTGAGAAATTCTGATTGCTTTCTTCACAGGGTGCTTCTACCAAGCCCATATAGACATGGCTAATACCTTCCATTCTGGACTTCATTTTCCAACTAAAAGGGACTGCTGGAGGCCCTGTAAGCCCTATAAAGTTCTTCCTAAGTCTCCTCAAAGAAATATTGAAGGAAATTAAGAATTCTCATGAGAACAGCTGAACACAGCAACAAGAACTAGCTATATCTTCATTCCATAAAGCTTGGGGAACTCTCCCAGAATGAAAATCATACCTTCTACAGTTATCTTATTATCCCTTAGATGCTAGAATAGCCTCTTACATGACACACAGAATCATAGGTCTGAAAGTCAAATTCTCTTCTCTCTAAATACAAATATTCAGAATATTAGCCCATTGCCTGCCACATGCTTCAAGCATCTCACAACCTACAAGAAAGGCATGGACACTGGTCCTAACTGAATTCACTAAACAGTTGATGTTCAAGAACAAGATGGCTATAGCTTTAATAACTAAGTTATTAATCAATATTATAAATACATTGACTGAATAAATGGTAGCAATAGGGGTGACATAAAAAGTTTACACACATACACTTATAAAACTGATGATATATTTTAACAACCAGAAAATTAAATTTCTAAAAACAGCAGTTGTTGTTGCCTTAGAAGGGTGCATGTATAGCAGAATGCATATAATGTTGTTATTATAGGAAAAGCAACAGTCAGTGTGGCCCTTGCTATGTGCACACATCATCAATCACCATATAATGCAAGACTGACTGGAAGAATTGTAAGTGTGGACTATAAATGAGCTACTATTCCTGCATTGAATGTACCACAGATAGTACTGTGGAATGTGCTATTTGAGACAGATTTGACATGTTCGTTATAAGCCTGAGGCAACAGAAAGAATGGGGAATAAATAAAAATAAATAAACAAATGTATAAATAACAACAAAAACTAAATAAATCACATGAATTAAGGAACAGTGCCAGGTTTTGCATGTCAGAGATAGCCAGTTGCTTTTCAATAGTTGGTGAACTGGTCTTCTCCAGTAACCTTAAGGCAAGGAAAAGGCTATTTGTGAAAAAGAATACGACTTCCAACATTTTTCCATGGCCTTAGAGGATAGAGAAAAAAGAAAGTGGTTGTGTACAGTTTTGGGGAAAGAAGAGGACAGCACGTCATTTCAGTGCCAAAGCATGCAGTGTGGGAAATAAACCTGGACACTTGTCTGGTCTCAGCATGGGATGAAGGCCACAGTTGTCCCTTTCTCCTGGTTTACTTCTCAAGGCCCCTGGAGAATATTCACAAGGTGTATTGTCCCAGATTTTCTATGACTGTGCATAAAATGCTATGTTTGGCCCTGCATTGTAGCGCCCAACCTTATACATGACTTTTAAAGGAAGCAGATCTTTGAAGTGAGATTTGACACAAAGGCATACAATAATCTTCGCTAGTGCTTCAGGGAGACTAAATCCATTGAGGATCCGATTAAAGAGGGCGACAAAAGACACTGAAAACCAATTTTCTATCACACGGTGTAAAAAAGAGAAAAAAAAAAATCTCACCACGCTGTGCTTAGCTTTGGACCCAGATACAGAATTGAAATTGGTTGACTTCCCCAAGGCCACAGGAGGACTGGCAGATGTATTTCTCTGAATACGGACATTGGCAATAATATGAAAGTTGTTCTGACCCGACTCTGTGACCTGACTGAGTTAATGATTTCTTTTCCCCTAATCATGTTTCAGTGAAGGAGTTTTCATCATTCTAGATAGGTTCTGTGCTCCTCAGAGCCAAAACTTTACTCCATTCAGGATCCCCAAGGGTTGCTGGTATCTTCTTCCTATTCAGCCTAACAGCTGGAGGTGACTGCTCTTAGTGCAAGGTATCCAGGACAACAGAGGGCTAGCATGCTTCCTGTCCAAACAGGTAGCAGTCTGGCTTGCAATTCCTGACTATAACTGCTTTGTTTCTGCTCATTACAATGTTTCCACATTGAGTTTGTTTCTTCCTTTTCTTTCCCCACTTAAACATTTTTCTACAGCAATGCAGGGAGTGGTAGCCATTTACAGTCCCAATTTAAGTGTGCAAGCCAGTTTTGCAATCATACGATAGAAGATGGAGAAATCAGATAGCAAAGGTTGTTCTTACAATGCTCCCATTTTTGAGACCCATTTCAGATTCTACCTTGATCCATTTACATGGAAATATCTGTGTCTATGGAGTGTACACCCCACAGACTCTTCTACTTGTGCTTTTTTTTCTAAGACTGGGAACCTTAGATTAATAACCAGATCATTCCTCCTCTTCACAAAGCAGCATTAAGCCAGCATAACAACCCATGAAGCTAAATAGTTCCCTATCATCCTCCAGCTAAGCCATTTGGATCAAATAACATCCCATTTACAATCCTAGACTTACTTTCCAATAGTGTGACTGAATCCTCAAGAACACACACACACACACACACACACACACACACACACACACACTGAAATTGATGGTGCCTGGCTCTTCAAGCTAGGGTGAAGACACAAGGATTATTCAGGGGGAAAGATACAAGATATAAATCAAGTTTTCTGTAAACCTCCATTATAGGTGAAAATAATGGCACTTTGGACTCAGCATCAGTAAAATGCAATATTAATAAAATATGTCAAGATGAAAAGAGTCTTTTTCCACAGAAAAGTCCACTGCCCATCAAAACCCTCAGAAATGGAGAAAATTGGCTGTACTTGAAGCAGGTGACCTGAATATTCTGTGTCGGGCGGTAGTGGAGTGAGGGTAGAGATGTTTTAATATTCCGTGGGAACAGACGCATGGTGCTCCCAGGCAAAAGAAACTCCATTCAACAGAATTAATCAAATCTGCCTTGTGAAGATCACCACATTCCACATTCTTGACAGAGTACAACAGGCTCCCAGCACCCAGCTGAAGCTGAAAGCTCTTGTTCCCTCCCCTACTTTGCTCTGGGGCTCCCAGGGACCCTCACCGTGGCTTGGCTGCTGCCCCAGGGCATGGAGCCCTGATTCAGGCTTAAAAGACATAGAGGAGTTGATTCTGCTCCTAACACTGTGATCATACTCAGTTCTTTTCTCTGCTTAGCACCACATTGTGCTTTGAACAAAAGTGAAAAGACTTCAAACCCACTGAGATTCAAAACTAAAGTGTGCACACAATGGCTGCAAAAATCTACTTCGGGTATACAAATATTTTACACTGATCTTCTTATGCTATAACCTAACAGCCTTCAAACATACTTTGCTTCAAAGCTATGCTAAACCCATGTAGCTACACTCTGCTGATTCTCTCCTAATGCCATATTCTTACAATTTGTGAGAATAATAGGGTACATATTCTACTGATTTTGGAATGCATTTGTATATTCCCTAGAAGATAAGATCCAAAAACATAAAGAAAAAAGAAGGAAGAAAGAAGAGAAAATTGTATTCATGTTACACACATATTCTCAAATTTCTTGATAGTATTTCTAGTATTGTCACAGCTTTAACTATTGGTTTTATAAATATGGAAAAAGAATTACTACCATTATTTACTCCAAAGCAACAAAAATTAATCGTCATGCAATGATTCTAGTGTTTCAATAATATTGTTGCACCTAGTGAGCTCCCTTGAAATAGACATTTCAACTAATACAATTTAGCTATAGGAAGTTCCTCTCTGATATTTGATTACTATGACTCCTCAACCAAACACTGGTGCACTAGGGTGTGGAGGGGCGCGATCACAGGCAGACAAGCATGAAGGAAATAAAGGCATCCATGGCATCATGGTGTCAATCACATTTGCTGCCTGTTTGTGTTTTCAGCTACTGAAAGCATTTAGATATAATGTGAAAAGGCCCTTGAATATGCTACATACTATTTGACCAGTTGAGTTTTATTATCATGATTTCTCCTTTCCTGTCTTTATCTTACAAACCATTTTGATCTACTGAGACCATCTCATTTCTACATCTTAATTATTTCTTCCTCATAACAGGGTAAATTTTTTAAAAAGTCATTAACCACTATCTATAAATATCCATGGTACTCTAGCACAAAGGCCTTTTGACAGAGAGAGTACTAATCCAAGTAATAATCCATGGCACTATTTCATCCTAATGGATAAATAATTAGAAGTAATGTATACTGATTGTTGAAACCCAATATCTGTTTGTTTATTTATTTTTTTTATTTTTATCCCACTGGGATAAATCTAATAGCAACCTTGACTGTTCAGAGGCTCATAAACTGACACTCTAAGCTAAAGACTTTGCCACACTGCAGGAAACTGGAAGGAGCTCTAAAGGAAGGTCTGTTTCTAGAACCCTCCCACCTTTCCTTCATGCTTCTCTTTCTTCCAGAGTAAGCTGCAGAAGCGAATCAGTCTTCCCTAAGTATTCCCAGAAACTAGTACCTATCTCCCACAAAGCCAACTGTAAAACCTAGAAATATGTCTCACACTTCCTCCTGACTTTCTGTGGAAAGTAGCTGTATAGTTCTCTGTTCCACATTGTCTCATCATGCATCATACGAATCTTGGTTGAGAGAGGTTCTATCCTATCCCAGGAGGAAGAAATGTTACACAAAGAAGTCAAGAAGAATCTGAACAAACACATGTCACTTCATTGCCCTCCAGTCTATATATCCTTTGGTCATGAAAATGATTGTCCCTGGCTTTATAGGTATTCATTTCCGAGAATTCCATGTTACTTGAAATTTTGACTAAATAATCACTGTGCACCTGACATAATGGAAATCTAGTTGGGAAAGAAATGTGTGATGTGCTTACTCAACCACCACTAGGGTCAAAGCTGATACTCCTATGATAAAAGACAGATTAACAAGAGAAAAGGCAAATGAAGCAATTTAATAAAGTATATAGAGATATCCACTTACCAACCAGCATATGCATACATCCCATAATAAAAAGCCAGGGGCAATCCCATTAGATTTGCATCTCTTCCTGAAAATGCATCTTCAAAGTGCTGTGTTTGCCCTGCAATTAGGATGCAAGGATTTTTAGAGCTTTGCAAAGAATTTGTTAGTTATTATTTATTCCAACCCTGTACATGGTGGGGAAATGAGCTGCCCTGTTCTCTCTGTTCATGGCCAACTCTACTGATACTGCACCCAAACTAGGGTAGGAGTCTCAAATGCACATTTGTCACCTAGACCATTTTGTAGTTCTTTTGTAGATTATCAGCAGGATGAAAGTGGCACTTAAAACAGGTACCACCATTTGTGTTGCTTGAGTGTCCTCTATTTTAACCAGGACAGTAGACTAAAGTTTCTTCCATTAATTGAAGTTTTAAGTTTGTCAAAATTCTTAGAAGACAATACATGACATAGTGGGGATGAAAAGAAATCTCTGAGTCTTCCTTGAGTGAGGAACCATCAAGGAACGCCTGCACTGCCTCCCCACACATCACTTAACATCCTGCTGTTTATCCCTGTAGTACATTTGACACCTGCCTCCTAAAGTAGGGAGGGCTGCAGACAAAATACACCATCAAAACCCAAAAGACTGGTTCATATAAAAGTTCCCTGGGGCACAGCCATGCCTATTCACATAAGAGTCTATGGCCAATGTCACCCAGCAGCATAGTGTAAGTAACTGTGATAAGCCATTCTACACAAAGGGCTTTCTTTATAGAGATAACTTATTGACACTGTCTTGGTTCATACCACAATTTTCTTCTAAAAATATGAATAAGAAATTATACCAAACCCCAAACCAAATTTTACCAACTTTGGCATCAACATGTAGACTGAACACTTTGTCCATCACACTTTTCCCACCCTCTATTTTGTGAACAGTGGGAATCTTTTTCTTTGACTCTTTTGGGTTGTTTAAGAGATTACAAAACCAGTGTTGTGTTAGTAAGCACAAATTCAAAATTAGACAACAAAGTATCTGTCATCCACCACCCCCAAAGAAAAACAACAAATGAGATTACTCAAATAGGAAAGGATCATGTTTTAAAACTGAACTTTAGTACAAAAACAGAGGCCATGAAAGCAGAAGGATATATACAACACTCTTTGTAAGTCAATTATCAGCTATTGCCCACATCATGACCGAGTATTTATAGTGGTAGACTATGAGAATCAGAGCCAAGATGGACATGGTTGTGTCACACAAAGAATATTTTTCTCAAAGCAATCGACTTCTAAATATAGTTTTGTGAATACTTTAGAGGGTTAATAAAAAATGCCCATTTTACTGAAACATTTCTATGCCTCAATAGAAGGAAAATGTATACACTGAGACTAAGAAAACACATCTGTTGGGGCTTGAGAGGATGCTCTGCACCTAAAAGCATGTGCTACTCTTACAAAGAATGTGAGTTCAGCTCCCAGCATCCATACCAACCAGCTGTTGATCTAGCTTCAGGGTATTTGATGCCTTCTTCTCACCTTTGCAGGCACCTGTGCTTATGTGCACATGACCATTATAGGCCCACAAACATGTGTGCACACACAAGCATGTGCAATACACTCAAATATAAAATAATATTTAAAAGAAAGAAACACCTATTGGGTATTCTTCTGTGATCTGTGGTCTCCTTAGCCTGATGAAAGAATATCCTTTAGAGTATAGCAATTAGAATTAATAAGAGAAAACATCTAAACTTTTGTAAAGACTGGGCCACAGTTCTTCAAATGAGCCGCTTTAAAGTGTTGCAAAGAGGCACTGTTTCTGAACTTCAGGAACATTTTGGATGCATAACACAGGCCTTAGGAAGATGAAAGTAACATTCAAAGGGAAGTTCCAGTTCTCAGCAGTAAAAGCAAAATATCCAGCTACAATCAGGATCTGATTAGAGTATAAATAAACACACCTCACTTATCAGTGAAGTCTTTTTCTTCCTGGAGTCTCAGACAAATGTGGAAAAACTAAATTGTTATATTACAAATTTAAATTCTAAATTTCATAGTTATAAAGAAAACATGACTGGTCTCCAAAGTACTAAAAAAAATGCTTCAAATGCAGTAATATTTTCAGGGAATTTCTCTGTTGTGTGGAAAGCAAGAATTGGAGTGGGCTTATGTTCCGGATACCATAAGCAATAATTAGTGTATCACTATATTGTAACTGACAGGAAAGATTTGGAATTTTCATCAGGGTCTCTGTTATCAAGGAATTTGCAATGCAATATCAACTGCTAACCATGCTCCATTTTACACACATACATAAATAAGGGATCAGAACCCATTACAGACTATAACTACGTATAATATCTGGTATTACATCAAAAGGAAAAGCCAGAAAACAGCCATGTCTAGAAGGGCTAATGACTCACCGTCCCATTACTTCCCAGAATCTCAAAGGTTCTCTACAGAAGACTAGAAAGTCAACTCAGGAGTTGAAAGCTCCGAGAGTGTGAACAATTTTGCCTCTGGAGCAGGCCAGCTCTGTTGATGCATGGTGATTTGGGACAACAAACCCATATCTTCTCACACACTGGCTCTACTGTTCAAATGAATCATTGTGTTTATTCTGAGGCTGAAGTTTTGGGATTTGGTGAAAGCATTTTACTGGCAGGACTCTATGATGGCCCACTAGGCTGATTCAATGGACAAGAACAGTTCTCTCTCCTAGCTAAAGTGACCAAGTTCTCAGTGTTTGGTGCCTCTACCAATGGCAATGCTTTTGCTCAACTTCTCCACTTCCTGGTGTGTTGTTGAAATTCTCTTTCTGCAGTGTCATTAAATTTCTCTATAAATTCCCTTTCTTGGAACTGACAATGTCAATGTAAACAATACATACTTAACATGCCCATCACCTCTTTCCAGTTGATTTGCTCTAATCATTTCTAGTTATTTCCTGTTACAAATTCAGTAACCCCTCAGGACCTCTTTCTCTTCCAGCCATTTCCACCAGATTTAAGCCAATGTACATTACCAGGCCAAACCTAACTCCATGATAGTATCTATCACATTCTTATCTTATTAAATAGAAACTCCATGACTGATTAATCCAGAAGCTTCCCTCATTTATTCAAAAATGCAAATAATTTTACAGAAAAAATAGTATAAAAATAAGAGCTAAGTTTTTTGCAACTTTTTTATTGTCACATAAGGATCCTGTTTTTAGGAATGCTACTCTTAAACCTCACTGCTTTTCTGTGGATACTAGTCTCAGAGTAAGGAAATGCAAATGAAAAAATAAAGAATTATTAGTCATCTTCCATTATTTTAAAGAAGTATTTTTGTCTTTGATATTTGTTGCACAACAAAGGATATATTGATCTGTACTTAAAGTTATAGAGCAAATTCATGTGTGTGTGTGTACATGTGTGTGTGTGCGTGTGCATGCATGCGTGTGTACATGCATGTGTGTGTTTGGTGGGGAAGTATTTTTTCTTTTTCACTTTGGGTTTTGACTCCAAGTAATTTTAATTTATACCAAAAGAATTCTCAGACACCTTATATTTGTTGCTTGGTCTCTTAATTCTCTTGCTGCCATTCAACTATAAATACTAACTTACCCTCAGTGTAGCCTTTCAAATCAATTAGATGACAGTACAGACTTTAAGTTCCACAAGCAAAGACCAATTAAGGATTCTGCTAGACAAGCGAAAGTCAGTGTTAGAAGAGACCAGAAGCAGATACACAGTTTAAAGCACATTTACTTTTCAGTCCATACCTTTAATTAGCTGTATAACTCCAGGGACTATAATTATCAGAATTGCTGTGAGCTTGCAGAAGGTTAGGAAAATCTGGATCCGGGCACTCCAGCTGACACTCATGCTATTCAGGACCATCACCACAGCTGTAAACAAATAGACAAAGTTACAAAGGCAAACCCCCATGAGCACAATGATGTCTTAGGTCCTTGTCAGTCGAAATGTGATCTATAAACCTGCAGTGCTGGCATGAACTACCAGGACCTAAGCATTGCAGAATCCCAGGCTCTGCCCCAGATCTAGTCTCTCCTGCATAAGACTGCTCTTTGATATACATTCAAGCCTGAAAAGCTTACATAAAGCTCCTGCACATCAGAGAGCTTGTTTTGTTCTTTGCACATTGGTAAGATGAACATACATCACTGTGTAATAACAATAAAGAAAAATATCTTCATCTTGAAGTCATCCAGCAGGTCATGATTGTGCTGGATTTGACTCAGGAACGGGTAAGAAGAGCTGATTCTGAGGTCTTGTTCTTCTCCATTGGGACCAGCTCTACCCAATACTCTTCTTGGACTTCCTGCTTTCCAAATAGATAATGAGGTGTGCAAGTGTTGACTTTCAATGTATATTTGGCTATTTGGTCAAATAAAAATCTTGGAACTTTTCAACTCAGTATGCACAGTGGGTCTGAAGCCAGAAGACTTTCCTCTTCGTATCGATACTGTTGACAGTTTCCTAAGCAGCCACCCCTATCCACATAAGGACAGCACAATGGCTATTCATTTGGGCATTGCCCGTTATCAGCTCTATTCCTGGCCAGGAAGATAACTAACATATTCTTGTTGTATGAATAAATGAATTGGTGAAGTGGGTTATCAAAAATGTTAAGGAACAGTTTAATGATGATAATGTAGGCTTTCCTTTTCTTATCTGATGGAATGTCTAGGGTTATTCTACATAATGAATTTCAACTTTATAGTCTTGACAAAAATATAAGCACAGGGTAGCTCAAACCAGGTAGCAGCTATTACATACATATGGTTTTCATCAATAAGTTTTCTTTTTGTAAAGATGTGTTCTCCCTTAGCAAATATTTTTTAAATGTATAAAATTATCTCAGAAAATTAAAAAAACACTAGCAAAATTCTTACCATTCAAATTGGAATCATGTGGTCAGGAGTTGTTACCACACTTCTCTTATATAATATAATCATTACCTCAGTTTCCTAATTAGGAATTGCTGAAGTATAATCAATATACAATAACTAATGTGAAAAATTAAAACAAACTATATCCAAACAGAGCCTAATTAATGTATATTATTTAAATGGTTTTGAACAGCCATCTAAAATCAATATACAATCAGTAATGTATTACATGAAAAAGGTTTATGGCATGCTACTGACCCACACAGTGGGATAAAGGGTCATTGATCTGTGCATGGGGAGATGATCAACTCAGAGACAGAGGAAAACAGGATGCCTGAAGAAACATTTATGAAATAATATCAAGTATCTATAAATGACAGACATCAAAATTTTTCAAATTTGAAATTTAGTTTATAGCAACATTTCACCAAATTTTGTAGAAGATAGAATTTTAATGACAACAGTCAATGAGTGAACTATGTGCATAAATATGCATACATGTTCCCTCCATACAACCAAAACTAAAGAGGTAATGGGGTGAGGTGACAGAAACAGGAACAAACTTTCACTAGTAAACAGTTCTCATGGTATAGGCAGATTGTCACCACATTACATACTAAAACAATGGAATTTTATTTGCAAAACATACCTCAGTAAAGGTAGACATTTTAATAAGTAAATAAAGCAGTAAGTTAAGTCTTACTGAGAAAAAGGCAAAGATGGGGGATCAGAAGAGTCCACTGAAAGTATACTGGGGCAGTAATGAAGTATGTCATAGAAATAATAGCAGGGATTGTCAGAAAGGCCTGAGTCGGGGGTTGGGGAGAGCATCCTAATTCCACTATCTTGGAAGCAGACTATATGAGGAAACAAACAGATCCACTGTCAGTACTCAAAGAAATTGTTTCATCGGTAATGATGAAAAATAATTTGTCTCAAATACATAGAGAAGTTACATATTGGAAATAATAAGATGCAACCCTGCTTCTCTCCAATTTATCGAATGAGTATCCATTTCTCTATGCAAATTCCTGTGTCCTGTGTGATTAACGGCTCATCACATGATGATGAAATTTTTTTTTAATTAAATAGATCCAACTTAAGACATGAAAGTAGAAAAAAACCAAACAAACAAACAAACCAAAACAAACAAACAAACAAAAAAAAAAAAACCTCAGCCTTGATTGTATCAGCAGCATTCAGCAGCATCAAAGGAGCACTGTGTTTGCCCTTTCTCAGGTGGTCCAAAGTAGAAGAGCAGCTCAGAGAGAAAGAGAAAAGGGGAGAAAGAGGGAAATAAAGAGGCAGACACCCTGGGCAAAAAGAAATAGTCATTTGAAGAAGACCTGACCACTGCATATTTGAGAGGAAAGGATCTGCTGTCTTCTAAATGCTCAATATCCATGGGAACAGGGAAAACAATGAGGATCTGGAATATTATTCTCTTTTCTAAACTTTACCCAGACAAATGGAAGACACAAATCAAAAAAAAAAAACATAAGGAATTGATCCTTTCACCTTGCTATCTTCCCCTTAGCTGGGGAAGAATTCCTAGCAAGACTGACTACCCTTAAACTTTTCTCCAAAGTCATCTTTATATGAGCACCTAATATCTAATATCATTGGTAGGAGCAACACCATATTCCAGGTATACTCAGTATACTGAGTAACAAGGCTTCCTATAGGATAGCCAGAAGAGGTTCACAGGCTACTAAAGCTGCTGCTTCATCCTGTATCTATGCAGAGGGAGTTAAGGCTGCAAAGTGTTTACTTACACAACAGTACTGAATAAGGATTTGGGATTCAGTAAACACAGGCATGTTCTGAGTTTCTGACACAAACTCTAGCTGCTTCTTAAATGGGTACCATCTACGTATATTGTAATTACAAAAGAAATCTGAGCCAGCACTCTGGCCTGAGTTTTTCTTCTTTGAATAACTGTTAATTTCACACATAAGGAAACTTGGGGGGAGTACTTGCTTCAAATTTTTAGCAAAATGAAAATTCAGCAACACATGGGCTTTTATTTACTTATTTATTGCAGTTTCCTAGAAACTAAAATGTAGCAGGGAAAGCTATATCCATAAATCCTGCAGATAAGAAACCCATTTTTGAAAGGAGCTGTATTTAAAAGGGATGTTTAGGGAAATCTTGAGGACTGATGCTATCTATGATTTAAAGACGAGCAAGTATTTCTTCCTGTACATTCCATCATTCACCTCTGTCTTTCATTTTGAAAAAAAGAAGAAGTTACAGATTATTGGATTGTCTCTCAGAGTCATATTCCTTTAGGCTTCTGCCTTTGGAGCACTTCATGCTAAACTGGTAAAACACACAGATGCTATATATGAATGCTATATGATGAGATAAAGTGGGTGCCTCCACTGTACACTGAAGCAGCTGCTGGATTCCTTTATCTCTTAGCATCCATTTCTGGGATGCACTGATCTCAGAAAGTACCTTTAGGAGGCACATGGCCAACTCTGTATCTATGATCTCACTGCTGGGGATAAACAGAGCAGGGACCACAAAAATGTAAACTATTATCTTCTATCAGACATGGTACAAAGACTTCCATGGATAATACTTGTTAATCAGCACATTCCCATGGCATGGCTGCTATTATCAGTCATGTATTTCATGTAAAGCAGGTGAAATTCCAGGTTCTGTTTATTTTGCTGGTATTCATATACAGGCAGTTCATGTTAAGATAAGATTAGAAGGCAGGAAGGCAAACTCCTGAGCTCAAGCCTTTACCACCAGCTCACAGGTTCAATGAGGAAACAGCTCAAAAGAAATGTGTGAGCTCACTGATACAACAGTTTCTTGACAAACTTGTGACATCTCCTTTTCATAGTTCTATGGGACAGTTCATGTCTGTCTTAGAGCTCAAGGCACTTGAATTCCACATTTTATGTATGATCCTCCTGAAGGATATGGCTGCTGTTCCTTGGCATATGTATATCTTTTTGTGCATAACTACCAAAGAGCCAACTTTATTGTGTTCTAATTTAGCTAGTGGAGAAAAGGAGTAAGGATATCTAGGCTTCAGCAATTTAAAGAGATCCACAAACACACACAGGCTGACACAGGGTAGTCATATAATTCAAATATAATTTAAAGTCCCTGGAAAACAGAAATGACAGTACTGTATTTGTAGCATTGGTTTGTTTGATTTTGTCTTTCTCTGTGTGTACATGTTTTCATATGTTTGCATGAGTATGGGCAGGTGTGCTCATGTGTATATATATTAAGAGGCCAAAGACAGATGTTGACCATCTTTCTCAGTTGCTTTCCTCTTTATTTCTGAGATAGGATCTCTCATTGAATCCAGAGCTCCCTGATTTAGCCCTGAAGGCGGTCTGGTCTCTAATTCTTCAGTCCTGGAATTACAGGCTGGGGCTGAAACTCAGGTCTTCATGCCTGCTTAGCAGACTCCTTACCTACTTGGCCATCTTCTCAGCCCCTGGCTGTGCTTCAGAATGATATAGAAATACCGTTTTCTCTGTTCCTCCCCGTTATTTCCACAAGGTTTAATATGTACAACACAGCTCTTATCTATATAAAGTAAACCATCAATGGATGTGAGACTGAGAGAGATGTTAGGGTAGATGTGAATACAGCTCACAGCATAAGGAGAAAGCATTGTTATGATAATATTCCACTTGAGAACATGCTTCTTAGGGTGCAGCTTTAGGGACCAGATATTTAGGGCTTGATATTTTAAATAATGAACATACACCCTTGTTCCTTTGAACTGTAAGAGAAGTGGAACTTGTGATCTTGCACAGGTTATTGATCATGTCAGACTTAGGGACATAAGCTGAAGTGAACTAATAATATTTTTCCATTACCCTTCAATGTGCCTAACTAACATTTTTGCTAAAATGGATGGGATTTTGGATAAACACAAGTATCTCACCTTTATTATTTGCCAGAAGTGGGGTACTTTGAAAACTGTGGGTATTATTAGGATTTAGATAAGTTCCTCCCCTGTTCTGCTATTATTTTTCAAATGGTTGGTTAACATCTCACAAAAGTTGAAATCCTTTTGAAGTTTGACCTTTTTCTCTACTTAACTAGAGATTTAAATTCCTCATTTTCCTCTAGGAACTTGAGAAGTAATTCATGCAATTAAACTCCATTTTCTACATCTCCACAACCTTCCCTTCTAACAGTCAGAACATCACCTATATTCACTTTGAAAAATAAAGGTTTTGAGAGATTTGCCCCCAGGTAAATTACTCTTCATCTTTGTCCCCACCCCTGTTGCTCCATTAAAGCTAAATTCATTTTAAAGGCCTTTGACTTTTCCAATTAAGCCTTTGACTTAAATTACTTCCCACTGACTCATGAGCATATACCGGTTTTCTTTCAATACCTCTGAGTTTAGGAAGTTGGTCCCTGATCATCGTCTGTAGTTTATATCAGAATTTTCAAACTAATACTATAGCTAGTATCAAAAATAAGATGAAATATCAAGGTTCCATCAATCCTTCTGGCCCTTCTCTAACCATTCCTCCACAAAACTCTATTATAAATATGTGAGCCCACACACAGCTTACTGATGCTTTCTTGCAGTTGCTTTAAATTTTGGAGGGAGATTTGAAATGTTGAATTCCCTAAAATATAAATGTCTCCTTTAAAAAGGTTGCAAAATTGAGATTAGTAAGAGTCATTTGGACATACAAAAATACAAACATCATCATTTATTTAATTTCATAGTCAAAGCAGGTAAATGTGAATTTGTAAATATCTGCACATCATGATTTGCTTTAAGATCTTGGTTTATGCTTTTTAATTAATAACATGTATTATTAGTCTGAAGAGTTCTTTAAACTACTTCTTTCTCTTCCATGATATGATTTGGCCTCATTCAGGGAAAGAGGATATGGCAGATATAAAAATGGCTGCTAGTCTAACCCTTCAGTGCAACATCAGAGGCATCAAGAACTTTCCATGTAAAAGGAACACTTCAAAGCCTTAAATCTCTGATATGATCTTACATTTCTACAGCCATTCAAGACACATTGTTATATCAAAGGCATTTTATCAATCAACAAACAGAAGCATAAATAAGTTTAATAGACCAAGATCACATAACGAGAAACCAGGACACTTTGTCCCCAACTCCAGCTTGTTGGTCTATAGTAATTATAACCACTGTGTAAGATGATTCACCCCACAAAAGCTCATGGCACCAGATCTAACATCTTACTAGCAGACTGTTTCTCTCCACTAATCTCCCTGCTTCCTGAGAACTGAAGCTTCCTAAAATTTAAGTTTAACAGGTCACAAACTACAAGTATTTGTGCTAGATTTAAAAAAAAAAAAAATCCTTAGATTTCTTATAAAGTCATAGATAGCTTCTGAGCACAAACAAGCAACCTAAGTGCTATTGGGGGGCTGGGGACGTAGCCTTGTGCAAGCCCCTGGTCCCAGGGGAATTCCAGTGACATTTCTCCACAGAAGTATAAATAGTCATCACTTGCCTTGCATTCTTAATAAATTGCTGGCATCATCACAAATGCGCTACATACTGCTGAGTTCTCATAGCCCCTACAACACTGGCATAATTATCTAATGACAATACTGAGGTATAGAGAAGTGAGGTCAATTGTCCCTAGGTTTCCTGTTTGTGGTATCTATAAAGAGAAGAATGTCATAGGCAGCTGCATTTTAATTCCCAGAACTCCACCATGGCTACTTTTGAGTCACTTTCTTTGTCTTTCCAGAGTTGTCACAGAACAACTGTGTGTTTAGGATTAAGATGTTTAGTTAAGAATTCCATGTATGTCGTACCAGAGATGGTTTTACACAGAATCACTCACACTTTGTCACAGATTAGCCCTTAGGGCATTTGCTGTCAAAAGTGCATTGAACTTTGTGTTATTCTAGTAAGCCACTATGGAGCAACCCTCTAAGTAGTCTTCCTGGAGTATGCAATTCAGTTACTCCTGTGTACCATTCTCTAGGTTGTTAAACCTAGTCAACTATTTATGATCATAAGGATTCAGAAAGCAATGATATTAACAGCAATTATAGGCTGTTTCTATGATATTCTAGAATGTTATAGAAAATGACTGTCCGATTTGCTTGTTTTAAAATATTGTTTTAATACGTGTTGCATTTGTGTATGATATGGAACATTTATTTTAATGAAGCAAAAATGTGTCATATTCTTTTATGCTGCATTTGTTTAACTCTGTGAAGCTGTGATTCTTTGCTTGTCTAAAACACCTGAAGGTCTAATAAAGAGCTGAACAACCAATAGCAAGTCAGGAGAAAGGATAAGCAGGGCTGGCAGGCAGAGAAAATAAATAGGAGGAGATGGAGAAAAGGATGGAAGATGGAGAGAGAGAACAAGAGGCCAGCAGCCCAGCCAGCCACAGAGTAAGAGTGAAAGTAAGATTTAAAAAAAAAAAAAATAAAATGTTAGTGAGCTTGCACTAGCTCAGGTCAGCTGTCTCTGTGGATTTCCCTGTCACAATCTTGACCCCTATGCTCATATAATGCCTCCTTCCTCTCTTCAACCAGACTCCAGGAGCTTGACCCAGTGCTTAGCTGTGTATCTCTGCATCTGCTTCCACCAGTTACTAGATGAAGGCTCTATTATGGCAATTAGGGTAGTCATCAATCTGATCAGTTCAGGCACACTCTCCACTATAGCTAGGAATCTTAGCTGGGGTCATCCTTGTGGATTCCTGGGAGTTTCCTTAGCAACAGATCTCCCCCTAACCCAATAATGGTTTCCTCTATCAAGATTTCTTTTTCCTTGCTCTTTCTGTCTCTCCCCCAACTCAACCATTCCATTCCCTCATGTTCACCTTCCCACTCCCCTTCACCCTCCCCCCCCACCAGCTCCCAATTTATTCAGGAAATCTTATCTATTTCCCCTTCCCAGGGGCATCCATGCATGTCTCTCTTAAGGACCTGAAAAATCTGCATAGGACAGAATTAGACGTTCTAAATGTGGATGACAGTTCTGTGGCTTGGGCAGTCTGTGGAGTCACCGGCAGTGGGACCAGGATTTATCCCTAGTGCATGAACTGACATTTTGGAGCCCATTCTCTATGGAGAGATACCTTGCTCAGCCTCCACACGGGAGGAGGGGCTTGATCCTGTCTCAACTTGATATGCCATACTTTGTTGATTTCCCATGTAAGGCCTTACTAAAAAGTAGATGGGGATTGGTTAAGGAGAAGGGGTGGGGGCAGAAGGAGGGGAGGGAGGGGAACCATGGTTGGTATGAAAAATGAAAACAAAATTTAAATAAAAATGAAAATGAAAAAGAAAAAAAAAATGATATACGGAAGTAAGAAAAGGAAAAATCCAAGAGCCAAAATGTAGACTGGGATAGTTTAAGAAAAGCTGCCTAGGAACAAGCCAAGGTAAGGCTGGGCATTCATAGAAAAAAAGCAAGACTCCATGTATGATTTACTTGGAAGCTGGGTGTCAGGCCCCACAAAGAGAAAAGAGTAAAAGACAAACAACAATTGCTTATGGAATCTTATATATGTTCCTCCTTTCATTTCATCTGTTTCTTCAATTTCCAAATGTCTATGCCCATTAATAAAAAGAATAAAGTAAACAACTTCCTAATTTATAGCCCATAAATAAATCTAGCCAAGAAAGGCTATCAAATCTGTTGTTGTTGTTGTTATCAAATCTGTTGTTCTTGTTTTGAGATTTGATTCTGGAATTGCTCATTCTTTTTTTTTTTTTTTTTCACTTTTTTTTATTTAATTTAGAAACAATCTTATTTTACATATCAATCCCAGTTTCCTCTCCCTCCTATACCCCCACTGACACCCCCAACCCATCCCCCTGATTATCATAACTTGAGAGAAAATTCCTTTCATGACCAAAAATAAGCAGAGAAAACGATAAACTTAGGATGACAGCCAGTATCACTATGAACAGTACAAACACAACATGCACACCTAGCATATAAACATAACCCCAGGACCATTGGTGAGTAATAATTTCATATACCACTGGCACAGGTTATTTCTAGTTCAAAAAATAATTCCCCAGAATATTCCCCATCTGCGAGACTGTCTTTTGATACAGCATCCATTTAATATTTTACTGAAGAAGGAGTTTTTGTCTACTTTAAAAGATCAGTTCCCACACCTGTTGATCCTGTATAGAGTTGGCATACATTGTAATAGCAGAGGTCACTTCAAAGCTTGTGTTCCTGCCTCTAGTTGCCAACACAGATTTGAACTGTAAGCACACAGAAGACAATTTGGGAAATAACATGCAAAAACTCTAAAGAAAATTTGCCACCAATCACATTTGTTACATTGTGTTCTTCTTTTCTGTTATAGCTATAATACTCACTGATGCCCACAGCTGTTACTAGCTTGATTGCAAGTTCAGGAATTTCACATTGAATAAAAAATGGTTCCAGAATGTATCTTCCAAATGCCAGAGATATCACAGCAGTAGCTCCAGGGCTAAAAACATAATATATTTAGGTTAACTTCATGAAACACTAAGTAACAGTTTCATTAAAACCTTTTATCTTTAGGTCTTACTACCTAACATGTGGAACTTACCTAGCAAGAAAGTCTAACATGCTCAGAACTTTATATTTCACTAAGCTGCCATACATTTCAAATGAAAAGTTATCTGTACCAGTAATGGCTAGTTTTTTTTAAAAAAATCTTTGTGAAAATTAGTACTTATAAGAGTTCATTGCCAAAATGTGTCTAAATATTTAATGTTGACTCTTAATTTTCTAATAAAAAGAAATCTCTAAGCCAAATGAATATTCTTAATTTCTTAAAAAAATATTTATATAGAGAGAATCACAGAATAAGAAGACAAAATCCCAGCCTGGGATGATAGAAACCCAGACAATAAGTCACTCCCTTTAGTTCTTCAAAGGAAAAATATTAATATTCCATTTCATCTTCACTATGAGTGCATATTGTTACCACACAAGGAAATCCACAGAATTGCTTAACATCTCAAGAGTCCCTTTCAGTTTCTCTTCCTCCTCTGGTTACCTAACACCCAGGCCTGATCCCTGGATTACCAGAACCCAACTACCTTCAGACAGGTTTCCAGCCCTAGTCTCCTATCTCCAGCCACTAACACAAACATTGTAACTTCTCTCCCTAAAGACCCCTTTATCTTTTATCCAAAGGGGGTACTCTTGGTATTCTCTATCATTTGGTATATAAAATGAAATCTGGTCATGTCATTTTGGTATCCTTGAAACATGCTTTGGCTATGGTCAAGTCTTGCACATACACTTGGGTGCAAGCTTCCTGGACTTTGTCTTTCTCCCAGGATAAAGATCTCAATCACTTCTGCTCAGAGCCTTTTCAAATAGCTACTTTTGCTTCTGCCATGAGAGCTACATGTAAGGCAACATCAAATAGCTACTTTTTGTACTTTGTATCTGGGTTCAGTCTTGGTCCAGAGAAGTGTCCTCAACCCTTCACCTGTCCAAATGTTTTCCTACACAGCACCAAACCTGTCTCTTCCACACTGCTTATCACAGTAGAGTTTTTATTCTTCTTAATGTGGTTCCCAGATTGAAACTCTTTACCTTCATTGACTTTGAATTCTATGAGAACAATACAGACTTAATTTGAAAGTAAGTATGTGCAGATATTACTATTTAGATGTCATGAGTGTTACTAATAGAATAAAAGCAGTTATGTATTTAGGGGATCACATCCTTCTTCATGTCATGTGTTATTTTGTTTGTTTGAAAGACAACTCCAGCAGTGTGAGTCCAGTATGACAAAAAGAAATACAAATGTTTTTAAAAGCTTCTAGAATTTATTTAGGTAATTTGGCTATACTCACACACACACACACACACACACACACACACACACACACACACACACACCATAAAACAGTTCTTTCAAAATTAAGGCAACAGTTGATATCCGCTGTTTAGGAGCAGGAATTGTGGTTCATTGCAAATATGGATCTCTTTATCTTGCCATTTGCAGCAATTTGCGGAAAGAATAAATTAATGAACAGGCACCATATCTGCCCATTGCAAATGGAATGATCACACTCATAGCAATATTGAACAATTAGATAAAGTTACACAGCAAATGCATGGATGAAGATGGAGTGAAGTCCAAGGCCATCAGACTCAGCAGCCTGACAGGCCAGCATTCTAAGTGTTCTTATTTCAATGCCGAGTTTGCTTCATTCAAAATAACATAATCTTGGACTTCCTGACACTTTTAAAGAAAGAATTCGTATCCAGGATACACAGGTAATATGAAAGTTATAAAAGGTGTAAGACCTGTTTTCATATACTTGAGATGGAAAAAATATAACATGGTTGCTAAAGTATTAAATAAGACATGGTAATGAGTTCAATGTCAAATGGGACATAGAGGTTACTTGTGTTTTTCCAAAGAATTAAGAGGTGAAAGAAAGCTGGCAGTGGTGGCACACACCTTTAATCCCAGCACTGGGGAGGCAGAGGCAGGGGGATCTTTGTGAATTCAAGGCCAACCTGGTTCACAAAGCTACACAGAGAAACCCTGTCTCAAACCCAAAGACAAAAAGGGTGGGGGGAGACAGAGACAGGGAGATGAAAGAAATGCCACAAATTGGGAATAAACCAAAAATTAACTGAAAAAAGAAAAAGTGTAAAGGTAAACTTTGAGGAGTACATATGACTAAGTTGACAGAGGATATTGAAATACATCCCAAATAGGGAGATCTTAAGGAAACAATAAAAATAGTCTTTTACCATCATTTAATTCTATTGATTTCTAAGCAATAAAAAAAAAACACCATTGCCAATGAAGTTTGTTATCAACACCACCACATTATTCCTGTTAATGAACACCTAAGAGCTTTCTCCGCCTTTATCACTCCTGTTAATGGCAGAATGAAAGCTTCCCTGAGAGTTCAGCAGTATGTGTCCTTTGTTTACAGGGGAGCAAGGTTCCCTGATGATTCCTACTGAATTCTGTGGTCAAAAATTGCAAGTCACATCCTGTGAAGCAGTTAGCACAGAACACCTGTGACACCAGCTATTCGTGTGACACCACAGAGGCCCCACAATGTTTAAGGAAATTTGCTATTCAGAGTGACTTGGCGCTATTCAGTGCCAAGAGATTCAGGAAGGGGAACGGAATCTCACAGCAACACAATCAAAAGATTTTCGAAACTGCAGATCATTGGTTTGTTTAATGTGAGGAAATGAATCACTCGTGGTGTGTAAACTTGAGCTTTTTTTTTTTTTTCTTTTTTCTTTCATTTTGTAAAACATAAGACTTGATAATATACTAAGTTGTTTGGCAGAGATATTTCTTAGTCACAAATGGGAACTTAAATGGCCTGATGATATAGTCAACAATAAGAAATAACTCTAATTCCTGGCATATTAAATTGTGCCAGGTCAGGCAAAGGTGCAGTTTATCAAGGTGGATTTTGAAGTTTCACCTCCTCTCTAATAAATACCTTTCCTAGAAAAACATACATGAATTAAACTTGCAGCTTAAAGAAAACATTTTATGCCTTAGGATCTTCATGTTTCCAACAAAGTCACATGATGCACATTTGGAATTAGTTAAAAATAGTCAAGAAGATTCTGAAAAGTGATGAAATTAATAGGCTTATTGTCCCTTAATTGTTTTCACATCCTTACCGTATTATGAGCAGTTCCACCCAGACTCGTACAAAAGCTAGCAAAGGACCAAAGACCTCCAGAATGTATGTGTAATGACCACCAGATTTCTTTATGCTCGTACCCAATTCGGCATAGGACAAGGCTCCTGTGAAAGTTTACAATAAAAAAGGTACAAATTTGACACATTATCAAATAGTCTTGTAATGGAATCCTACCAGCACTGTTTGGGTTGCATGCGGTATGGCTCCTTCTTTTGACCAGAAGGGCCTTCTTCATGACAACAGTCAACTCTTAACTGAGATCCACTAAGTTCCTCTTTTAACTTCCTTACAATTGAGACCTGCCTCATGTTGAGAGAGAGAGAGAGAGAGGAAGGAAGGACAGAAGGAAGGAAGAAGGAAGAAAGAAGGAAGGAAGGAAGGAAGGAAGTGAAGGACTTGAAAGATAGCTCAGCAGTTCAGAGCACCAGCTGCTCTTCCAGAAGACCCAAACTCAATTCTCAGCATCCACAAGGTGACTCACAACCATCTGTGTCTCTAGTTCCAGGTGATGCAGTGCCCTCCTCTGGCCTCCTCAAGTACAGGCATATATGTTGTGCATAGACATACACACACAGGAAAAATACCCATACACATGAAAACCGAATAAAATGAAATGAAAATAAATGTAAGGAAAGGACTTTTGTTTGAAAGGGTATCTGCAAACATGCTTGAGAATCTGTGGTCAGAACCCAGAGGGCAGAGGGAAAGGGCAACGCAGCAGGTATCAACAGGATTGACCTGACCTTTGAATAACAACACCACGTCACACTAAGACAAGTTATCCACTCAAACTGACCTCGCTAAGTCATTTTAATAAATAGTGTTTCTGTGGCATATCAAAATATGGGTTATCTGTCTGTCTTTGGGAAAGAATGGATTGCACACCTTGTGAGACTTCAGTTAATTAATAGAATTTGTTTTGTCAGCAAAAAATGAATCTGGATTCAGTTGTTCTGTAGCCAGAAATGGTTGTTATGGATGTTTTCAAAATGTACCAAGGAAGTTGAGAGAACTGTTTTACAGTGAGATTCCATATGTATAGTCATGTATGCAATGCAAAATCAGTTATAAACTAAGTTGTGTTTAGAAATAATACCTGGATGGGATTGGGGAAGCTATTTAAACTCCCCAAACCCTACTTTTCACCCCCTTTGGAGTGAAAAAAATGGACTTTCATCTTGTAAAAGACTTGTGCATATGAAGGTGGTAAAGTGTGCCACAGGTAGGACTGATTTTTGACATCTCAAACTCACATGACAAGGCTCTACTTACCTACTAATTCATAGTTAACTATGATGGACATAAAAATAAATCTTAGTTTTATCAAAACAAAACAAAACAAAAAAATCTGAAATTGCTCAGTGCTCAAAGGTAACACCGTTTCTGCCCAAGCACTAGATGAGGTTCCAGGTATGGAAAGTAATTACTGATCAGGAGTGTCTCCTGTAGAATGCCCAAAATAAACAGAATTTAGAAATTTAGTGAAGTCTGAGTACACTTATCTGATTCCCGAATCCAGCATTATCTCAAAGTCACTTGGAGAACTGTTTTTTAAGAGTGAACAAATGAGGAAAGACTCAGACCACACCCTCTACTCTTTGTTAGAGTCCAGACTCCACCCCAAAGAAAAATCTAAGTAGCTCTACTGCTTTTTAATGTTAAATGAGCTTGCAGGCAGCTATTTAAAGACTTTGGGAGAGTTCCTTTAATGTAGAACTAGAGGTAACTAGCTATAACGACTTCTTTTGAAAAAGAAGTCACCATGTTGTTAGGTTGTCCAGAAAAATCAACCAATATAACCTAGTTATAGGAAAGACTCTTAAGCACCTTGCAATTTACTATCAGGGAATCAATACCCAGACCTCTATACACTTTAACCCAGGTTTAAATTGAGTTCTGAGAGAATGGAATTTTCATTTAAAGATCTCAAGCTCCATAGCTTTGTGCCCAGATGAAAAGAAGTTCAAAGCCAGCTATAAAAGCCCATGTGTTGACCTCAGAACTCAAAAGGTTGCAAACCAAATGCAGATGCTGCTCCCCTTACAGAGGGTGACTTTGCCCCCAAAAGATTCAAAACACTAGTCAGTGGGAACTTCATTGACCACACATAGCCTAGGGACTGCCCTGCACATTTGCCTTGAACTAGACAAAATCATCTTACAAAACTTTCATTTTACAAGTGTTAAAATATGGCAAGTAATTTACTGAATAACAAATCTTATTACCCACCACAGGAAGGTTAAAAAATCTTGTGCTAAACAACCTTAAGCTGGGGACTCCGGATCTACATTCTTGACTTGTATTCCCTGAGTTCTAGAACTTCAAGTAACAGAAGAATTTTCTCCTTGTATCTCGTTTGCTTACTATTTGTGAAGACTTTGTGTCCAGAAAGCTCCATAATTTAAGTGGAAACAATATGAGAGCACATCTCTGAAGTTAACACTCATGCATCCACTGTGGCTCACATCACACCTCCTTAGCTGTTCTCTGTAGTTTCTTGAGATTCTACCAAAGATGGCATGCTTATATACAAGCATATTTCCCCCATACAAGTCAGTGTGTCTTTAGCGAACTCAATGAAGTAATTTATTTTAGAGCATCTGAATAACCATTGATTGTGTGTTAAAATCAAATCATACACTGGGAACTGCCTGCATATAAGTATGCAAAGTTCAGGAAACTGATTGTAGTTTTTCTGATTAGATATTGATTTATTCTAAATATATCAAGTACTGTAAGACATTTGAAGCCTGAGGATACACTGTCACTTAAGATCAACAATTGAATTTCTCTTTGCTTATCAGTACCTGAATATGCCAAAACCACTTTGATATTAATAATGGTAAGGATTTTGCTGGAGTTTTTGATAACTGTATTACTCCAAACAATGAAGAAAACTGGAAAGTGAGAGCACACAGCTGTCACCAAACATTTCATAAAATATAATCTATTCACATAAATGATGTCACCAAGTTTTCCAAATTGCAGCAATTTCTGGATCTTTCTATAGTAAAATTATTTTAAATATCTCCATCCTAAAAACAAATATTTAAGTTTTCTGGGTAGGTAACTCTCTCCAAATAGTGATTTCAAATATCCCAAGGCCAAAGCAGAATGAATGGAGCAAGAGTTAGCACTTGAACCCAGAGTATTGGGTTAAGGAAATAACTTTAAAGTGACCTGCTTTAGGATCAAAGTTTAAATTAAATAAAAAAAATTGACCATTCACCAATTTTTGTCACCTTTACAATGGATCTGGAGAGTTTTATGTTGATTTGCCCTCCTGATCAAGGATCAATTATTTCCTCTACAGTATTAATTCTCAAACAAATCAAAGAAACATAAATTTGGAAGAGGAAAAAATTAATAACTGCAGTAATGCCAATCTGGTCAAGAGGAACTTCAGTGAACTGGTAGAGAAATGATCTGTTTCCCCAGAGGCCACATAAATCCAGATCCAGGCAAGGGGGGAAGACTGACACCCAAGTGAAGCCTGCAAACTCACACTGAGAAACTTTCTCAAAGGTGTTTTAAAAAGCATAATAATGCGGGGGGAGGGGGGGTAGTTCAAGCCAATGCCACTGTGCCACTCACAGGGCCACATCAAACACTTGTCTCCCCAAGGACTTCTGAAAGCATGCTATTAGGAACGGACAAGCCTATGAATTAAAAATATTTAAAAAGACAGAGAGTGCCACTCACTTGTTAAGGTAATAAAATGTCAGTGACACTGCTCTGAACATCCGGTTCTGCATGTAAATTGGCCATGCAGGCTGTACCTCACAGGTGTTTCATCCAGCGAGCCAGCTGCCACGATGTTCTCTAAGTGTGCCACACAAAACCCAAACCCTAGGCAGAGAAGGCTTGCCTGGCTTTCGGGTCATCACAATAAGTTTTTGCTCTCCTCATACCAGAGAAAAGTCAGAGAAGAGTCGGGGGCAGGAAAGGGGCATATAGCCTGAAGGAAAGAATCTGAGAGGATTCAGTCCTATGCCAACAGCCGACCATGTGTTTGGGTAGTGCACATACCTGAACAACAGCAACAAAAATTCAAAACATTTCCTGTAGTATTGCCATTCATCTACTCCTCAGAAATAACCCTTTGCTTTCCCAGAGAGCCACACAGCCACACCCCCAGAGAAGAAGTACACTCACCAAAAAGTGACAGTACTCCACAGGCAGACCAGAACACCAGGGACATGCCCACACTGCCTGTGTTCTGGAGTATGCCCTTGGGGGAGATGAAGATGCCTGATCCGATGACGGTGCCGATGATGATGGAGACACCCCTCAGCAAAGTGATCTTCTTTTTCAGAACCACTTTCTCCTGCCCAGGTGCCTCTTGGTCCCCCATGGAGGGCAGCCTCCCGCTCACATTGCCCTGCAGGTAACCTCCTTTCGAGATGGTGGCCACAACTGGCTTTCGGACCATAGTAGTGTCACACCAGGGGAGGGGAGTGGAAAAGAAAACAGAGGAAAAAAAAAAAAAAAAACAAACAAACTTTCAAATTTGGTTTCTCTAGATGTGACTGATCACTCTTCAGTCTCTGCTTTCTCTTTGCTTTCACTGACTGGCTCTGCACTATTTTGTCCACAGGTGAAAACTCTGGGGTGTGCTTTAGCCTTCGCAGCTATCTAATTACTCCTCTTGCTCCTCCGGAGCACCTGTGTGGCATCCGCTCCAGGAGCCGTCAGTTTGCTGCAGCCGCACGGTTGCTGCCCTATCATTACACACCAGCTCAGCTTCCTCATGGGCTCCTATTTATGCTACCGCCTGTCACACCAACTTACTGGGCTACAATGATGATGCAAATTCTCCAGGTTTGCATCAGCCACATGAGAAAGCTCCACCTTGGGAAAGCGCCAACATTACTCAGCTTTTTTTTTTTTTTTTTTTTTTTTTTTTTTTTTTACAGTAGCGGATGTGTTGCTCAACTGACCCAAAGCATTTCCCTGAACAAAGCATACAATTAAAGAGGGGCTTAACCAATCCAAAGGAAGTAAACCAGGAACAGACTTTGTTGTCCTGATGTCTTTAAGCAACTCAGCTCTCAGAGAGAAAGAAAATGGAAAATGAAACAGGAAACGATTACATTATTTTAAGGAGTTGCTTCTTAACTTTAACGTGTGCATAAAATGTTGTATGCACAACTGTTTTGACAATAGAAAAGTGCCTTAGGGCTGCACTGTTTGCAACAGCAAAGTTTAGACTTTATAATTTGTATTCTACTTACTTCCCGGGTGTTTCCTAGCAACACTGTCAAATCTAATATTTACAAAGCGAGAAAGTTTCTGCACACTAGAGCCATGGCTATACACAGCTCCACATAAACAGACCCAATTGTTTCTTAAGACCTGTAATACGCTGGTGTTTAAGATTGTCATCTGCGTTTGAGAAGTTGAAAGATCCCAGTGACTGGAGAAAATAGTCCTTTTCTGATTCTTGTTGGCACAGAGTCGTTTCCTGAACGTTGTTAGAAGCTCCCTTCATTTGCATGCTGCTCCATCAAATTAAAAAAGACTCCACTTGGAATCCTAGATAATACTTATAATTGCACAAAGGCATGCATAGAGCAAAAGCTTGAGAAGGAATTCGTAACGTGATAGTTGGAGAAAGTAAGGAGAATGTGTGGCATAGTTTTGGATCCATAAGCTATTTATGATTATAATTTAAAATGTATTAAAATCAACAAGTACTAAGTTTTAGTTAGCTCAAAGCCATAAGTTCTCAGTTACTGTAACAGAAGTAGTGTTCATTTCATAAAAGTAACAGGATTTTTTTTTTACATTAGGAAATAATGAAATTTTGTGGAGACGGAGGGATTTAATCTGATTTAGTGCTCTACAGTGTGCACATGTAGTGAAACCTAACACCCTATTATATACGTAGCTTTCTTTTTTTTTTTTTTTTTTTTTTTTTTTTTTTTTTGTCTGTCAGTTGAAAAGAAATTTAAACATATACAAGTGCAATAAGATTGCAAACCAGGGTTAAAATGTTTACCTTAAAAAGATCAAAAGTAAACACTTAAACCTGAAAGTTTCTGCTTCTAACCAAGTGTCTTATAAAAGCCAAATAAATACCAAGAAGGAATCTCAACTATATCAGCTTTGGCTCTGGGTCCCTGCGGTTTGAATTTAATGAGAAGAATCCGATACCATCATCATCCTGAAGCTATGTTCAGACCCATGATTAAATATGCTTTAGAATCTCCGAATAAAAACAAACAGAAAATCTCTATGGAAGGATGGTTGGCTGCATTGGAGTGAGGGGAGGGGAGAGGAGTGGGGGGTAACAAAGGCAGGATAACCTGGCTGGAGGGAAGGGACTGGAGGGGAGAGGAGGATGTGGGGGTGACAGAGGCCAGAAATACCCATTGGAAAGGAATCCAGGAAAATGCCAGACACTTTCTGTTAGTTCCTACCTGAGAAAATGTTCATGACATGATCGCCTTGTCACAAAAGTAACTGAGGCCACATGATTTCCCTTTTACATGACTTACCCAATTCTGTATAATTTGCTTTGGATATACCAATAGGCATTTTTATAAAGCTAACATTAATTAATACCTTTACTCAGCTATTATTTCACAAAAAAGGCGGGGGGGGGGGTAATGGTCCTCATTAAATCTTGTCTAAATTTCTCAGAAATTTCCCTCCACCCCATTTCTCCTGTTCTTGCCCCATTCTCCACTCCCTAATGAACAGAAGCACGGAGGGAAAGCTGTTGACTCCTCAAAGGGAACATTTATTCTAAAGAAATAAGAGTTTAAAATAAAACACTAAGCCCCAGGCAACTGTGTCCTGTCCCTGCCATGGCACCACACTTTGGTGACTAAATTATAAATGGTTGGACTAGTAAGACTAGGGTACTATTCAGACAAGATGTTGGAAATATTTTAAAGGAGGAAAAAATATTCTTGCAATTTTAAATAACATTCTACTCCTTAGCAATTTTAATAGATATTCATGAAAAAAAATCTGAAGTTATCCTAATAGCCAAAAAGGGGATACTCTCCTGCCTAGGACTGAAGCATTCTTCAAACTGCACACAGCTAATAAAAATCTCAGTATATCTCTTTGAACCACCCACAAATTTACAAAAAATACAGGTTTCAAAGAAAGTGGTGAAATACCTTTAAGGTTAACAAGCCTTTATAATCACCAGTGTTAGCCTTATAATCTAAAAACTTGGTTGGTTTTCAAGTACATGTACATCATAAAAATAAATTCAAAGCAAATAGGTTTATTGTCTTTCTCCTGCTTTTGGTATTATATTGAGCATTTTAGAGACTATTCGTTAACACTTGCTTAATGTTTACTTTGCTCAAGGATGGCCCCTGTTTCCTAAAATCATCTCATGTGTTGTGGTAGTCAACATGTTACACTAAAGATGTCAGCCCTATTTGTATAAATATAGCTGTAAAATTTAAGTGTGACCAAACACTTTACAGTTATAGTGCACAGGAATGTAATCTGAGCTAACATATTTCTAAATAGAACTGTAAGTACACTTTCTTATTTGTTGGCAGTTGTAATGACAAGACCAACAACTGGCAAATATATCTCTGCCCCCATGGAGATATTTACAGTCCCAACATCACAGCGCTATGTTCTCATGTCCAAGAAGACTAGATTGGTTGGACCCTGAAGATCTTCCATTTATCCTATCAGCTACTGGGGTTCCTTACTAGGAGTACTGACTAGTACTCCACACAAATATTAATTACACGTGGATGGTGGGGATGAATGTGAAGGCTCCTCATTAGAGATTCTAGAAGCAGGATGCACCATGTGATAGCCATTAGCCAGATGTGGTTACCAGTTCTGGAAATGTGTTTAAAATTTAAAGTTCTATAAAATGACTTCCATAAGAAAGAGATTATATACTTTGTGAAAGTTTGGACAGTCTTCAATATAAAATTGATGAGACATATATTTGATTTGTTATGTTCAGAACAAAACCCACTCTTAATACTTCAAAGAATAAAAAAATGAGTGTGATGAGCAGAAAGAAAGCTCAACTAATTCTTGTACATCTCATCTTTGTGCAGAAGCTACCAATTTTTTCCCTGTAACAGCCAAGTAATAAATAGTTTAGGCTTTATGTTCACTCTTTGACTCTATACATTGCTCCTCACTTATGAATGTAAGTGTATGTGCACACATTTACAACCTTTAAAAAGGTAAATCTCATTTTTAGCTTCTCTATAGTTTTCAGCATCTTGACTGTTGTCAGGATGAAGCAATACAAAGCCATTACAATGGCTTATAGTAGGGGTTTTTACAAATAAAGTTTTATTAAAATACACCAGTAGACATTCGCTGACCTATTTCTAAAGCTTCTTTCATGTCTCAACAGCTGGCCAATTACAAAAGAGATGAGTGGACCCCAAAGTGGAAATGTTTCTTTGCCTCTAGCTTAAGAACACACATAGGAACTCACCAGTATTTACATTTACTGTCTTATTCTAATACCTGCCCTTTTGTGTTCAAAGGAAGGTATGCTCCTGACATAATCATTCCCTCTGCCTGAAATTTCATCACTTAATATGCTCATTTTGCTAACTTATACATCTTAACAGTTACAATAAATTAATGTTTGTCAATTTTCTCTGATCCTCATTAGATTGGGTGTTCCCTGGTATGGAACTGAGTTCATAGTTCTGTGTCCTGAAATAATTAGTCTGTTATGGAGTAAAAATCACTAAGTACATTTTATAATCATTAATTCCAGTACTATAAGCAAGACTGGGATATGTCTATCATAGGAAAGGAAAATGTAGGGCTCTGGGACAGGGCGGGGAAGTGAAAGAGCTAAGTCATGATTAGCCATGCTAAAAGGTTGATGTGTAATGTGCAGAAATGAAAACTATAACTATAGAAGAATATTATTTAGAGATTTGGGGACGAACAACAGGAGGGGGGGAAATCACCCCAGGAAGAAAATCCTTTGTCCCTGAGGAACAAGAAGGAGAAATCCTGGGGAATGATAAAAAGCAAGGACATCTGTTCATTTCTTAATCCTTTTAGAATACCACGTTCTTACTGATTGATAACAAATAACACAAAAGCAGAGAGTGCTGGAAAGTAAGACAAAATAACATAAAGCTAAAAAGTGATCAAAGTGGCTTCTAAGGTCCTCTTATTTGGAGAAAGGAGAGGTGAGGTAATTTATCTGTGTTAACAATTGAAGATAAATCACTAAATGGAAAGAAAAAGGGAGAGGAGAGAGGGACAGATGATGAGGCGGAAAGGAGGGGAAAGAGGAGAGCGGAGAAGGAGGAAGGGTGTAAGAGGGAGATGGACCAATAAGGAATGGGGGGAAGAATGAGAGAAAAAGGAAAGGGGGGGGGAGAAAAGAAGAGCCCAAGAAATGAAAAAGGAAGAGAAAGAAGATGACAGAAAAAGAAAGAACAATGGAAGGAGAAAAAGAGGGGTAGGGAGAAAAAAGGAAAATTTAAAAAAGAAAAGGTCATGACTCCTAAGCCATAAAAAAATAATAATAATACCAAAAACCTCAATAATTCTAA